TTCCAAAATAAACACCCTGGAAAGATAGACCTTTTTGTGACTTATTGTGCACTGAAATGACCATAACACACTAAAATACAATCCACTGACTCGGCTAATTTAACCACATCTGCCACAAGGGAACTGTATACACAAACTGCTATACCAGAAAAATCAATAAAAAATTGAGAAGAAAGTGAGTGCCACAGAAAACGTCAAGGAAACTCTAATGGTCTGTCTGTGAAGTGACACTAAACAGTCCCTGTGTTGAAGGAATAGTCCCTGATGGCGAAGCTATTGAGAAGTGTAGGCATCAGGAAAAATCTTACATCATGAATGGGCTACTGAGTTGTGGATCCTAGTTAGAGGATGTACAAAAGTAGGTCACATGCTGTTGAAGGCCAGACTTCTTCCTGGAAACCATTGTGTGCCTCTCCCTCTCTCTCTTTCCCTTCCTGCTCCTGATTGTAACAAAGTGAGCAAGCCTCTTGGCCACACAACTCTACTGCCATACTGTTTTCCTTAAATCAGCCATAGTTCAGCAGAATAAAATCTATGAAGCATTCAGAGGCAAAATGCTTTCCTAATTTAAGATGTTTTACTTAAATGCTTTGTCTCAATTACAAATACCAAACACAGAGCCAAAAATCACAGAAATCCAAAACAGATATTTTAGAGGTTGAGAAATAGCAATTATGTTATGATTTCTACAGGAAACTATAGCTACTTTAACATCTTTGGCTGGAAATTCTTGACAAGAAACAATAGAAATTGCGGAAAATTCCTCATATTAAACAAATGTTCCTCAAATAAATTATGAATCTGTAGAATTTTATTACAAAAGTAGCTGTGAACATGATATTATAAATATTTTTCAACAAAGGATGTAAAAACAATAACTTCATGGGTCCTGGCTTTAGTTCAGATTGCTTAGATACAATTCCAAGAATATAAAATTTATCTAAAAATAAAAAGGCAAGCTGGACTTCATAGAATAGGAAACAAAGAATCGGGAAAAAGAAACACATTTTAGGCCTTTAATGGAAGAAATGAATAAACAAAAAGAAAAATCACAGCCTGAGAGACAGTATATTCAACAATTTATAAAATAACAGATGGATTTTAAATACGGAATCTATAAAATAGGACAGGAAAATGAGAGAAAAACAGTAAAGCCTTTGATTTAATTCTTCACAAAAACGTATGCATGTGGCTTTGCCTATGTGCATGTGCACTCGTGGGTGTGTGTGTGTGTGTGTGTGTGTGAGAGAGAGAGAGAGAGAGAGAGAGAGAGAGAGAGAGAGAGAGAGAGAGAGAGAGAGAGAGAGAGAGAGAGAGAGAAAGGGAGAGAGAGAGAGGGAGCGCTTCTCATTGCAAATAATCTCAACTGCCTCCCTGTACTGAGTCCTTGTGCCACAGGATTTCTTTCTTTTTTGATTTATTTAGTATTTTTACTGAAAATATTTTCTCTTATACAATACATCCCTACCAAAGTTTCCCTTCTCTCCACCCCTAGCACCTCCTTCCCCTCCTCCCCTCTTCCCAAGATCCACTCCCCCTCCATTTTCTTTTCAGATAAGAGCAGGCCTCCAAGAGATTACAGCTAAACTCGACAAAACAAGATACAATAAGACGAGGTAAAACCCCAAAAATCCCCAAAGCAGGCACAAAAGTCAGAGACACACTAACTCTCACTGTTAGGAATCCCACAAAAACATCAAGGTAACAACCATAACATATACACAGAGGACCTGGTGCAGACCCATGCAGGCTTCATGCTTGCCCCTTCAGTCTCTGTGAGTCCATGTGAGTCCTACTTAGTTGATTTGGTGGGCCATGTTCTCTTGTTGTCCTCCATCCCCATTTGTCTCCCACAATCTTTCCTCCCTCTCTTCCTTAGGGTTCCCCTACCTCTGAGGGGAGGAAACCGATGGCAATGTCCAATTTAGACTTTCTCTGTACAGTGTCTGGCTGTGGTTCTCTACACCCGCTCCCATCTGCTGCCAAAGGAAGCCTCACTGATGACAACTGAGCAAGGCACCGATCTGTGAGTAGAGCAGAATATTTGTAGGAATCATTTCACTGATTTATTTTTTCTGCCAGTCCTGTTTGTTTCTACTCTAGGTGTCTGGGCTATCCAGTCTCCAGTTCCTAGCCATCATGGCAGTATAGGGCAGGGGCTTCCTCTTATGGACACATGGCGTTAGCCTCAAGTTAAAACAAACATTGGTTGACCACTCTCAAATGTTCTGTGACCCCATTGCCCCAGAACATCTTACAGGCAGGACATACTGTAGTTTGAGGGTTTTTGTGGCCGGATTGGTGTCCATCTTTCTCTTTCCATAGCCTGCAGAATCTCTAATAAGCTTTGATGTAGGAATAAATTTTACTTTTCCATTTATCTTTTCTCCTCTTATAAAATTGAACTGGCCGGGCAGTGGTGGCGCATGCCTTTAATCCCAGCACTCGGGAGGCAGAGGCAGGCGGATCTCTGTGAATTCCAGGCCAGCCTGGTCTCCAAAGCCAGTTCCAGGAAAGGCGCAAAGCCACACAGAGAAACCCTGTCTCGAAAAACCAATAAATAAATAAATAAATAAATAGATAGATAGATAGATAGATAGATAGATAGATAAATAATAAATAATAAATAAATAAATAAATAAATAAAATTGAACTGTGGTCCATTTCTCTGTTCTTTATATCTTCTCCCATCCTGTAGGTTTTACCTTTACTGTATCGATTGGTTTGGTTTTTTTGTTCGTTTGTTTTGGTATATATAATCTTTCTCTTTGGTGCCACCTCCTTCCTCCTTTGTCACGTCTTAGTTTACTTTCCTGTACTTTTAATAATTGTGTCCAGGTATCTTTTGATACTGTCCAAGTATTCCTTGCCCAGCCAAATGTCATGCAACATTTCTCCTTTACTTCATTCTAATAGCAATCAAGTTCCAATTATTAAATTTAAACCTTTGTTCTTTTGAATCTTATTTTTGTCTGATGAAAGATATAGTCTTATTGAGCACTTTAATAACTGCATATTGAACTTACCAACACATTTTGTGAAAGAGACTTATCTTTTCTTGATATACAAAATTTCATTTTTGTAAAGAAACATGTTTGTTTCTTGCATAAATATGTATTTATTTCTAAGATGTGTATTGAATATAATCATTTATGGTTTTTTGTGGCAAAGCCTTAATGCTTAGGTTTCTATAATGTTGCATCACACTTTAAATATTGAAATGTGATAGCTTCAGTTTAATTCCTTCTGTTCAAGATTATTCTATCCATTAGAGACTTTTGTGATTACCTAAAAACTGGTAGTTTGATGACAAATATCATTGGAATTTTCATATGGGTGTCATGGACTCTGTAGACTGCCTTAGAAAGAGTGGCCATTTTGGCAATACTCTTTTTCTAACCCACGGACAGTGATATCTTTCCCTTTTCTTCTTTCATTTCCTTTTTAAGTGTTATTTTATTTATGCATGTATGTGAATGTATGAAACTTGTGAGTGGATGCCTATACAGTCCACTGTTTTCAAGATGGAAACCTTGATGAGTTAATCCCATTTTTTTTTTTCTGGGACTGAAAATGGCATTGGAAATTACTTGGTCCTGTTTTACAGACACTTTTAGCAATGATTATAATGTTAAAGTTGAAAATTGCTATTAGATATAAGGTTTAATGGTTTAAAAATAGAATCTCTTAATCACTAACATTGCAATTCTAATGCTTTGTCTTATATGTACTCATTAGTGGAAAATAAAAATATAACAGGAAATCTAAGATCCTTAATAAGTGACCTATGTATTCTTTCTTCAAGATCTAATCTGTTGTCTGAACATCCTACCATAGGTAATCAGTTTCTGAGATTTGCTGTTGGTGTTAAAGAATTACCAGTAGCCTTCTTAAAAGAAAGTTTCAGATGTATATTTCCTTTGTATATTTCAACATGATACGTGTAGCTTTGCCCATTCTTCCATTCTGTGTTATGGTCATTAGTTGCTGTGCCTAAGCTTGAAGTGATGGTAGTCTTTTTCCTATTCTTCATTAAATTTATTTAATGAAAGTATCTTATGATCTTGATAGCCATAATTTTCAACCACTTCATTTTTTATTTAAGAAGCTATAAGTGTGCCCACTCATATCCTTTAATATATGATCTCTAAAACCTACCTGAGTACAGTGTCAGGTTTATTTATTTATTTCCACAACTTGTTAAGCACAATTTCATTTCTTTGGTTTTAGTACACAGAGAGATATATGTTCCTTCATTTTACTCTAAACAGTATACCTGTTTTCTTCCATAACACTGGTAGTTGTACACTGGAAAGATAACATTAACTGCTTCAACAGGAGTTTAAACTGTGACACAATAAGCTCAACCAGTTTGTTGCTTGGGGAAAATGCTGATAAAATTATTGCAGGTTCTGTTGTTTTTTCTCAGCTTTTTCTCTCAGGTAAGAAGATTGCACAGGAAATTAGCAAAAACAGCATCTATAGCCTAAAAGATTATAACACATCGTTTCCTCTGAAATATCATTTTGTATGAGATAATTGCCTCAGAGGAGGTAGTGGGGAACATCAAGAACAGTTAAGGAAGCTGATAGGAATATTAGCAGAAGCAGAGCAATCTTCACAATGACATCTAAGTTTGCATGGTGTCGCTTTATACTCATTTAAAGTTTCATTTCTGTTTGCATTATCCTTCAAAAAAAACTTGCTATATGGCACTCCAGTCCTTTTCCTCTAGTGCTACCATGCCTGCTGGTCTGTGTGGGGCCATGATGGCGAGTTTCTCTTCCACAAGATAGGGTTTGTTAAAGTTGTCAAGAATAAGGACTACTTTGAGAGGTACCAAGTGAGATTTAGAATATGGTGAGAGGGTAAACTATGCTCAGAAATGATTGGTGATCCAGGACAGAAATAAGTACAACATATCCAAAGGCAGGGTGATAGTTCATGTAACGAACAGAGACGACATCTGCCAGATTGCATATGCCCGAATAGAAGGGGATATGATAGTCTGTGCAGCACATGTACACGAACTACCAAAATATGGTGTGAAAGTTTGCCTGACAAATTATGCTACAGTCTATTATACTGTCCTGCTGCTGGCTCACAGGCTTCTCAACAGGTTTGGTATAGACAAGACCTATGAAGGCCGAGTGGAGGTGACTGGAGATGAACACAATGTGGAAAGCATTGATGGTCAGCCTGATGCCTTCACTTGCTATTTGGATGCACATCTTGCCCGAACTACAACTGGCAATAAAGGTTTTGGAGCCCTGAAGGGAGCTGTGGATGGAGGCTTATCTATTCCTCCTAGTAACAAAGGATTTTCTGGTTATGATTATGAAAGCAAGGAGTTCAACACAGAAGTACACCGTAAGTACAGCATAGGTCAGAATGTCGCCGACTATGTGTGTCACCTATTGAAGGAAGATGGAAATACTTATAAGATACATTTCTCTCAGTACATCAAGAACGGTGTAACTCCAGACATGATGGAGGAGATGCATATGAAAGCTCACGCTGCTATCAGAGAGAATCCAGTTTATGAGAAGAAGCCTGCGAAAAGTGAAGAAGAAGAGGTGGAAGCAACCCAAAATGTTTCGTGCCCAGAAGAAAGATCGGGTTGCTCAAAAGAAGGCAAGCTTCCTCAGAGCTCAGGAATGGGCCACTGAGAGCTAAAGCAATTTTCTATGAAGATATTTTCATAAAGAAAATAAACTTATTTGACCAAGGAGCTAAAAAATAATAACTTGTCATTTTCTAAAGTATGAGTGGCATAAAATCGGCCTAAATAGTGAAGAATGTGTGTTTGGTGCTTTCTACTGGTTCCTTAGTGGCAACATCGACTACTATGATGGGACAATTTTCAAAAGGAAGAATTTAATACTTACTTAATTGAATAGTATTAATATTATATAATTTAAAAATAGTATTACTTACAGCAAAGAACAGCAAGTGCTCTTAGCCACTAAACACTCTCTCCTACACCCACATCAAAGATTTTATTTCTCTGAGACAAACACATGGCTGTGGCCTCACTGAACTGTGTGATAAACACACAGTTAACTCTCTAGGAAAATTCCAGTGATATCTGGAATATACTTCCGCATTTCTACAACAGTGAGTTAGACTGATGACATCAGTTTAAATTTCTGCTACAAACACAGTTGGAAGTAATGACTTAGTGTGTTTTATGTGAAACACATAAAATGTAAAATGTGGTTGGATGGATTTCTATGCATGTATTGTCTATCCATGTATTATTTAGACAAACTCATTTTCACGATTAAATATTCATTTAAAAGTTTTATCTTTTTCTTCTTTTGTTTGTTTTGTTCAATTCCAATGTGTTAGTGTTTGTATGTTTTTATATCTTATTTTATTTTATTTTAGTTATCTCTTAGAAGTCCCTGCCCCCTCTCTCTAGCTCACTCTTTTTTTTTTTTTTTTTAAGATGGACTTTCTCTATGTAACAGCATTGGCTGTCCTGCAGCTTGCTGTGTAGACCAGGCTGGCTTCAATCTCACAGATATTTGCCTGCCTCTGCCTCTGGAGTGCTGGGATTAAAGGCATGCACCACCATGTCTGACCTGTCTGTTTTCTAATCAAAAACAGAAAGGAAGTGGATCAGGAGGATAGAGGGGGAGGCAAGGAGGAACTGGGAATAGTAGAGGGAGGGAAACCATAATCCAGATATATTATGTAAAAATATTATTTTAATGAAAGGAAAAAAGGTTCCAGAGAGAGAAATACTGATTAATAAGTAGAATATTAATTAGTTGAGTGAGTAGGCATATAAATTACTATTTGTCAGACATTAAAATTGGACCATGGTTCACTTAGCCATTTGGTTCTGTATTATAATAAAATGAAAGGAAATTAGCAAATTTTGATATCTGTGTTTATAATGGGTTCTTAGCTATGGAACACTAGTACAGTTATCACATTTTCATGTGAAATTCAAGAAAGAAAAAGTAGGTATTCGAGCTAGTGCTGATTTTTGTCTTCTGTTTCTACTTGAAATTATCTTCCCCACTCTAAATATTTTGAAAATTGTCACTCAGTTATGAGTTAATATGGGTATATAGCCAATGGTTTGTATGTAAATTATATACAATCTATTATTAAATAATTAATTGATTAACTTTTCCTAGTAAAGAGCCAATCTATGAAATAAAATATTGACTATACCAATTGCTATAGCGTTTAAAATACATTGAAAGGCTATTCCTTCAGTAACTCCCTAGCACATGATAAAATGGGTAAAATGGTTCCTTTTGTCTATATATAGTAAAATTCTATACAAGGAAGCTGTGTATCAAGGACAGTAAACATTAATAGCATAAAGTAGATGAGAGAGAGCTTAGGAGATAGAGAAGTTAAGAGATTTCTCCACAATGTAAACAAGAAAAACAGATTTGACGAGTGAAAATAAAGAGGACAGGCCTAGAAAAATAGGAACATGGACAAAAATCTCCCCTTTCCATGGTGGGAAAAGTTCCTCTTCCTGGTGATCGAAGTACTTTCTCAGGAAGAAAGAGTGGCACTAAGACAAACTGGTACAAAGGATGATATGGTGCACAAAATGCTGCCCTTAAGTAAGACAAGTCCCAACAGAGTGACTGTGCCATCTTAAGTTGCAGAAGGGACTGTTCAAATATTATATCAATTGCATTGCATAACTTGAGCTTTATCATGTTTTGTCTGATTGGCCTGATGTAACACTATCAAATGAGAAGAGAAAGATTAGCATCAGAGGATTCAATGTGACAAAAAAAGAAAAAGAAAAAGAAAAAAAAGACTGGCCAAATTGTTGCAGGACCCCAAGGCCATAAAATCTGCAGGATCCAGAGAGACAAGATAATGATGTTCAACTTTCCTGAACCATTTTAGAACCTATGCTTTATAACAGAAACATTAACAACAGCGTAGATCATAATGACCTTCACAAATGGATGGTGAGTAATTTCAATACCCCAATTTTCACCAACAGTTAGATAACACAGACAAAACCTAAAAAGAGAAAGCTGGAGCTGCTTGATGATCTAAACCAAATGGATTTAACAGATATTTACAGAGCGTTTTACCCAGACAGAAAAGAATATACTCTTCTTCTCAGAACCTCATGGAATTTTTCAAAATTGACCTCATACTTGGAAACAAAGCAAATCTCAATAGATACAAGAAAATTTATAAAACTGCTATACTTCTTATCTGACCACCATGCATTAAAACTGGATATCAGCAACAACAGAAATCTTACAAACTCATGGAAAATGACCAATTCACAACTGAATCAAAATGAGTAAAGGCAGACAATTTTTAAAAAGTTAAAAAATTCTAGAATTGAGACAAAATAAATATACAACATACCCAAACTCATGGAAAACAATGAAATCCATTCCAATACACAGATTCATTCCATTGAGGGCCTATAAAAAATTGGAGAGATATCATACTAGTAAACTAAGAGCACACTTCAAATATCTAGAACAAAAAGAAATCACTTCCAAAAGGAATAGATGGGAATAAATAATCAAACTCAGAGTTGGAATAAATAGAATACAAACAAACAAGCAAAAGCTACAATAAATCAAACAGTTAGTGCTTTGAGAAAATTACTAAGATTGACAAACCTTTATCCAAATAAAACAAAAAGCAAAAAGAAAATATCCAAATTAACAAAATTGAAAATGATAAGGGGACATAACAACACACACCAAGGAAATACAGAGACTCCTAAGAACATACTTTAACAACCTGGGCTTCACCAAACTAGAAGAAATAAAAGAAATGGATACTATTTTGATAAATGGTATTTATCAAATTTAAATCAAGATCAGATAATCAATTTAAACATATTTATAACCTCGAATCCCCAGTGAAATAGAAGCAGTTGTTAAGTCTCCAAATCAAAAAAATAAAACAACACCAATAACAAAAAATCACTAGTGCCAGATGGTTTTAACCACAGCATTCCAACAGACTTTCAACTGAGAGTTAATGCCAAACCTTCTCAAATTATTCCACAAAAGAAGGATTCATTAACAAAACATGTTCCCTAAATTATTGCTGTATTTATAGAGATGCTGTTGTGCTGTGGACCACGGAAATATGAAGAAGTAATTCAGCTGACTATTGTTTAGTTTTATGCCACGCTATTTACCCTGCGAGGAAAAGTCACAGTCACGAGGCACAACAAAACCCACTATAAGAGGTTATTAGGAGAAGGGAAGGACAGGAAAAGGTATCCTTAGGCCTATTTGAGAGATATGTGTGGAAGAGGGGGGTGGGTACATGGGACCTGCCTTTTATGGACACCCCCCCACACGTGCGCATATGGGCCCATGTAGCTACGCCCATGCAGGCACATTGATTAAGTGATCATGCTGCATGCAAATTATGTGACCATGCAATGCATGGATTATGTAGGACATAAGGCCCCAGGATGACTAAGCCTCTTACTTGGCTACTGGACAGCACAGCAGTCATGTAGCTGGGGGTGTGGCCAGGAATTCCAACATTCCAGACTCTTTGCTTATTATGAAATAATGGCAGGTGGACAGGAATGAGGCCACTGTGTCTCCCAAAATGGCCTACAACTGACTTGGTAAACATGGGTTAATTCTTGGAGAGTAGGGAAGGGGGTTTCTGAGGTAGCCAGATGTCCTGGGGTAGTGGATTGTCATCTGCTGCTTTGGCGTCATCCATCATCTTCCTCGGCTTGGGATTCTGTGGCTATATGGGTCTGAGATGGTGCTGTCCTGGTGATTTCAAGCTGCCTGGTTCTCAGACCAATGACACCCATCTCACACAGGGGACGCAGGGTAGTCATAATAACATTTGGAGTGACACATTTCCTTCCTTTTGGACAGTGTAGCCACTTACTCAGTCATGAGGGAGTTTTGGGGTCCCACTTCTCCTCATCTGTCTATTGTTGGGGGAGGGGGACAGCCTTACCTACCTCATCAGACCCTACTGCTTGATTACATTTTCAGGAGTATCCCATTTACCCATGCAGTTTTAGTTGTGACAACCTGCCCTGTGTCCCTATGGGAAGAGATTTACTAGCTAAGGTAGGAGCTTTTGTTTCTTTGCTCCCTCCATGTGCCTCACTCCTGACCTGTCAGAAGTGCTTCTTCTCCTCCTCATGCACAGCAACACAGGCAGGGCCCTGCTCTCTCTCAAGTTCCTGGTGTCTCAAGGACACCAGGATCCAATGCCTTGTCACCAATTCCAGAAGAATGAGGTTTTATCCCACAAGCTTTTCCTTTCTGACTCCCTCTCCTAATCAACTACTCAGCTAATTGTTACAGGACCACCACAGAGCCAGAGGCCAAGGACCACCAAGTAAGCCCAGGATGTAAGGAACAGTAACAGTCCAGAGATATTTATACCCCTAGACCCAAAAAGGTATGGTCTCTGAAAAAAAAAAAAAAAAAGACTTTATATAACAATCCATTACTGTTAAATGCCCTCAGCAATTGATCATCTGTATCTCCTGGATGCTAAACCAATAAAAGAAACAGGTGCCTTAAAATCTGTCTCAGATAAGGCTTATCTCAGGCAAAAATTAAAAGCATGTTCCAAATCTCTCTCTCTCTCTCTCTCTCTCTCTCTCTCTCTCTCTCTCTCTCTCTCTCTCTCTCTCTCTCTCTCTTATCAACACTAA